ATAAATAAAATAAATAAAAATAAAAAACAAACAGCGTAGAGTTTACATTTCAAACAATGAACCACAAGATATGAAATATAAAGTTGATGTGTGATGGAAGATGAGAACAACAGTGTAATAGTAACGGAGAAAAGAAAAGAAAAACTAATGGGACTATTTGTTAGAGTGCCGCAGTAAGTTTATCGTGTCATAACTAACGGATTTCTCATCACATAACAGTTGTGCCAGATATGGTATTGTGGAGTTTTTGTATTTGGTGGTCCTAGCATATAGCCGACTATAGCTGCTTCTAGTTCTACCAGATGAAATGCAAGGAGACAGCTGCGTATAGAGAGGATGCTCGGGGTCTGACAATATTGTATTCGCTAGTTTCTTACGTGACATAATATGCCTATCCACAATAGTGTTAACCAGTTGGTTTAACGATATCCCACTTGCCCTACTAACGGCTTTTAGTGCCCTTCTCAGCGAAGCAAAGTCTTTCTTAAGTAGTCCAGGAAAGATTAATAGGGAGCAGTAAAGGGGATTGGTAGAATACAAGAATTTACAAACTGAGAAAGCAAAGACTGCTTTATGCCAGACTGCCTAAATTTCCTAATGTAGAACGTTAAGCGAAACATCTTTCTAGTAACTAGCAAGATGTGGGAAGACCAGGAAAGATCGGTGGAAAAACTCAGCCCAAGGTACTTGACATAAGATGTATTTTCAACCTCTGTGCCGTCAATGATAGTGGGGCCATGTGAGCTAACTAGTTGCTGTAGGTCATATTTGCGTCTGAAACTGAAATTGACTACCTGACATTTAGCCGGATTAAGCTTAAGTCCGTTTGAAGAGGACCACTGACTAATTTCCGACAGAAAGTTATTTAATTTGGAACAATCTGACTGAGAGTTGACAGGCATAGAAACAGAGAGGTCATCGGCATACTTAACAAAAGTGGCTACATCAGAATGAGGCAAGTCATGTAAGAAAAACGAAAACAGAAAGGGAGAAAGAACAGCACCTTGAGGAACACCAGCTAAAGTAAGTGAGGTAGTGCAGGACTTTCCATTGTAGACGGTGTACTACTTGCTATCAGAAAAATAGGAACGCAACCACTTATTTGTCCAGCTCTTAGCCTGCGTTGCAGCAAGCTTACTTAGCAAGAGTGACCTGGGAACTGAGTCAAATGCAGATGTGTAGTCAAGGAAGGCACAGCGAACGTATTTAGCTTCTTTATCTAAACTAGAGACTAAACTATGGTGTAGGACAACAGCGGCATCTAACGTACACCTACTATGTTTGTAAGCAAACTGGTTGGGGCCGTTAAAAGGCTTTAAAGAGGGTTCGGTGGCACAGTGGTTAGGACTCTCGCCAACCATGCACATGGTCCGGGGTTCGAGCCCACGCCGGCGCATACCTGATATCTATGGTCGGCCTGCAAAATTTGGGCTACCGATATCCATGCTGAAAATTCCATACTTGTACCAAAAGTACAGTGTGGAATCAAGCTGTAAATCAAAAAAAAAAAAAAAAAAAAAAAAAAAAAAGTAAAATAAGTCTTTCCATAGCTTTCAGATAGGGTGAAGTAACAGCAATGGGTCTAAACTTAACATTAGGTTCACTTGTTGATTTAGGCACTGGAACGATTTTGATATTTTTCCATGATTCAGGTATAATACTTTGGGAAAAAGATTCGTTGAAAATGTCAGTTAATGGGGAACACAAGATGTCGGCACACTTCTTAAGGATAACATCAGGAACACTAACTACAAACAAAACACAACTAAAGTTCTTTTTGGGTACCAGAATACACAAAATCTAGAGAGAAAATTGTCCTCCATGAAGAATAATATTAACAATTGCTGCGTTTGTATTCCATTGCTTTGAAAATTTATTTTTATAGATTTGCATTAACCTTGTGTAAACAGTGAACAAGGCAAATTTAACTAGTTTTTTAGATAATATGAAGATACTTTTGATTTTTTTTCTTTTAGGGAATACATGTATTCACTGATTTAGCCAGAAATGTGCACATTTTCTGCTCAAGTAGACAAAAAATTCATAGAATATAATTGCTTTCCTCAAATAGTTTTTTATAGAAGAATATTTCACAGTAACATTTTATACAGGTTTATAAGATAAGTGAGACGAACACAATTCCTTTCACATCCTATGATGCAAGACATCTTCTTACATTTTTTAGATTGTTTTTGACATAATAATCCATAAGTATTTTTCCAAGTTTGATACTTACTATGTAGATATTGGTATCTTCTCTACAGGGAATTTGGGAATAATAAGTTGTATGCTAAATGTAATTTTAGGTCATGCTTACTTTTCAAAGTTTCTTTGTTATTTAGAATGTAACGGTATAATATTGTTATTAAAAATTGAAACATTATTCATCTTATGCCCTCCCGCTGCTTATCTATCATCCTATCAACAGTTATTTATCAACGGGAAAACAGTACGACATGCTTAGTACAGTGAAAATAAAATTAGTAGTTGGTTAAGTTTGGCTGAAATCATAACAAAAAGGTTGAACAGACGTTTATGAATTCTATTACTTTAACTTGAATTATTCAGTCACACATGAGAGTCATGTTGTTCCTAATTTGTAATGTGCATAAGTGCAAAATTGTTCCACTGAGTAGTCATTTCCAATCGTTAAGTCATTGTGTGTGGATGTTTTCCCTGGCAAATATTGACACATGTGTCTAGGTACCTGTTTTATAATCGAACAGCTGAGGAATGAACCGAAGTTGTAAATTCGGGTAGAAGTGTTGCGCTGTACTTTATTATTGCATGATCAGTGTGCTATTATTCATACTCATCACAAGGTTTTACTGTTCTTCCACAGTAAGTAAGTTACTGTATGGGACTGAAATATAACTGATAGTATGCTCCTTGTTTTGGCATCACAAATGAAAATGAGATTTCCTGTGAATGGATAACCCCGTTATCTACCAACCGAACGAACGAGACACTTCAGAATGCATTCTTTAGAGGTTAAAGTACTTTTAGTACACTTTAACGAGTGTTGAAATGCGCAGTTTAGTGCACTGTCAAATGCTTAATCAGCTGTTACCAGGCTGATGATTAACTTTCTATAGGGTACTGGATGATATTTTATTTCAAGCATTTGATGTTCAGATATAATCTGTGTATCCTCAGTCATTATATTGATCAAGTAATCTTGTAGTCTTTGTGTGTCAACACCATAAATTTGGTGACTGAGATTATTGCCGACTTGAATAGTAGAACATTTCATGCATATGAATTATGCAGAAGTGCACATAGCCTTGAGTAGTCATACTTGGTTAAACGGCTTCAGAAGACTTGGTTTGGCGTTATTTTGCATAACGATAGGTTAAAATTGAACAAGACACCCACTGCTGTGGATAAACAAATAGGCCTAACTAATCATTTTAGGTCAATAGTTTGTATTGTATCTTGTTTAATCCAAATTCTGTTGATAGTGAATACAATCAGTGTGTCGTATACTCAACCACATATCCTAGAAATTATAAAAAAATTATGTATTGATCACGCTTACTATTCTTTATTATTATTCCCTTGGAGTCCGAGTGAAAAACAGAGTACCGACAGCACACTTGCATTACATCCTGCTCTTCACAGCCCTTTCTTTCTAGCTGCACGACTGCCTACAAGCTCTTACCTCTTTTCCATAATATCTCTTTCGTACCACACTTAGACCTACACCCAACTCTTTGTTTCCCATTTTTGACCCACTTGAGGACTTGACATGCGATGTTACTCAACGTTCTCGTCAGCGTGTGTTCAAAGCATCTCCACTTTCTTCGGCTTGTTGTCGGGAAATAGGTTTTTGGTTGATTTATTACCAGAGTACCCCGTCGCTTTGATTTTCCGACCAATTGATCTTCAATATGGAGAGAAGGCAGCTGTCGATAAAAGTCTGAAGCAAGTCGCTGGAAGTGCTTTTGTTGAAGCCCAAAGTATCTAAGCCACACAGAAGCACCAACTTGACATGATTGTTGAATATTCAAATCTTGTTGCTTATGCTGAGTGTGGTAGATTTCCAAACTAATTTCAGATCACTAAAGGCCATCAACATGTGCGTCGGTGGCATAGCGATTAGGAAGCTCGTTGACCATGCACATGGTTCGGGGTTCGATCGCCGGCCGACGCACTCCTTTGCCTCACTAAGCTAGAAATAATGCTGGTAAAGAGGAAAGGTTGGGCATGAAGCCAACAACCACACCCTGTAAAATTAAACACTGCAACAGAAACTTCAAGCCACTAGCTTGGAGCCCTATGTTCCACTGAGGAACATGAAGGAAAATTATATTATATTATATAAAGGCCATGAACTATGTCATAATTCACACAGATATATTTTGATTAATTTTAGCTATAAGTTTTAACTTTTCACTTCATATTTTAACCTGGATATATTTATTAAACATCTATTTCCCCAAACTTCTCATCCTTAACATTAACAAATCTATGAAAGGATTTGCATAATAATCGTAGTACAGCATATGAGACACTAAGTTTGAAACAAGCTGTGCAGTAATAAGTGAAGCCAAACGAAAGCTGAAAGATGGGTTAGTAACTCATCAGTAATTAGGATTTATATGCGCATAGAATACATAGGAAACATCAAACTATGTGATAATACGTAATCTGTGTTTGAAGTTATTTATGCAGACAGTCGAAATGAAGAACACCGATTCAAGTTCATATTCTCAAGGTTATATATATGTGTATATATATATATATATATATATATATATAACTTTGATCACTTAATCATAACAAGTACTTCATCTTCTTGAGATAAAAGACCACCTGAAAACTTATGTGAAATAGATAATAATTTACTGCACCAAATATAATTCAGCAATGCTTAGTTTTCTGTTTTGACGTAGATTTTAGTTTAAAAAGTTGTTCCGTGTTGTAGAATATTCTTTCTTTTATTTTACATTAAACTAAATCAGTCGTGTGCTTATAGTGTTTTTTTCTTCTTTTTACAGCTACACTCTACAGTGTGTATTACCAATCAATTATTTTGTGGAAAAAGTCTATGTCTTTCTTTGGTTTTGGTTTGTAATCCTCACAGTTGTCACTACAGTAAGCACACTGCAATGGGCTTTCAACACACTTTTACCAGTTAGACGAATAGCTTATATAAAACAGTATATACGCGCAATTCGACAACTTTCAAATACAGAGGAAAGAGATTGTACACGATTTGTAAATCATAATCTTGGTCCAGATGGTGTATTGATACTTCAAGTTGTTTCTAGAGTTTCCAGTGATCTTATTGCACTAGATGTAACTGCAACACTATGGAGTAATTACAGACATGCTAAAATCACTGGAACAGAAGAGGATATTAATCGATTTTTAGAAAATGTCAACCGTGGAACAAATGCAGTATAGTTATAATCAGGTCAAGTAATAGCACTGATAGTGAAATGCATATTTCTGTCCAGTTTAATTTCATTCATAACATGTATACCCTTTTCCTCAACAATACATGTGTATATTACCCGACCGTTACATAACCTTTAATACAAAAGCTCAACACAGCTCCAGATACTCGCATTTCGACAAAATTGTATTTTAATTTGAAATACAGTTAGATGTATTCAATTTAAACGCCTTGCTCTCAACAAAATATAACATTTTATATATACATATAAATATATCACTGAGATAATTATCCTAGGCCATGTTTACATTAATGCTACTATTATTACTGATGATAATAATATCACTACAGTAACTAGTAAATTTAATGGAATTTTGTGAACAGAACACTGACACTCATATACTTACTTCTTGTTCACCTACAATTTCCTTTCAGTATTTAAAACAAAAAAAATAATAGATTGTTTAATTATTTGAATTTCTATTAGGCAATGTAAACAAAATAACATAATAAATTTTATTCTCTTCCCCTCATTTTTTACTCCAAATTTTTAACTAACAAAAAAGATAACAAAATCATCGTACAAAATGTTTAGAATTATTTGTTCGTATATATTTAGTCTGAAGAATGAAACATGTTATTAGTATTCGAGGAGAAATTGAAATTAATATCTAGCGTAAATTCGAAATTACAGCTATTAGAAATAAATACGGAAATTCTTTCTGATCTGTTGGAGGATTTGTTAAGCTACACTATGTTTAGCCAGATAGATTTGTACTAGAAAAGAAAGAAAGTGTAAAAAGTAATGAATTATAATTTCTTTATACTCTAACCATGTGCAAAAAGCTTATCCGCACTGTGCTTCCGTTGATTAAATCAAAGACTGTGAAACTTGTTAGTCAAAACAGAAGAAAATCAAAAAGAGTAGTAACTGAATGGAAGAATATCAACCACCCGAATGCTGAGACACAGAAAAAGCCAAAATGATTACTTCATAATATTTAGTTACCTACCCGTTAAGTTTTAACTGTTAACAGCAGTAAAACGTACATACTTTGTTATGAGACGAGTGAACAGACCATGGAAGAAGTTCTGTGCAATAGGTTCATTTGCACAGCCTCACAATCGCGTTTATATGCAATCCTTTATTAAGCATGTACTTGTCGTGTCAGTTTGTAGGCCATAAAAAAGGAAAGAAAAGTCATAATATTTCATGCTTATTATAAATTAATGGAAACTGATAGGAAACTTGGCCAAACCTATAAGAATCAAAGCAAAACTCTGTCCATGTCAAAATAAACCGACTGTTCAAACTATTCTCTTATTCCGATTTTTCAATTGTTTCTCAATGTAGATGGCTAAAGTGTTGTTATACTGTGCTATATTCATCTTATGATCAAGTTAAAAAATAATTTGAACAGTTCATCTAATTATAACATAATTTCATCTTAGACAGGAGCATGAAAGTTAAGTCTTTTCAGTTTTGTTTTTGGCCTGTGACTTGCATCAGACAGCAAAAGTCATATTGAAAAAAACAAACGTTGGAGGTTATAAAACTCATTCAACCTCTGATATGAAACTGATCAATTTGGTGTATAAAAGTGATATTTTAAAATTTAAATAATAATATAATGATAAACCTTTATTTTAGACAATATGTGAACATATATTACGGAAACTTTCAACGTATTTAGCTCCGAAATATTTCCTCTTCACACGGAATTTACATGTAAAGCGATAATCTGAAGTACACCATTTGTCGTACTGCTACTACATATGAGGAGAGAACCAATTCTGTACATTTCATCGTCAGTTCCTTCGAAAATTGCATAGAGTATAGTAAGAAACTAATTAAGTATGTGCAAGAGCTCATGTGTTGTACAATTACCACAATAAGAAGTGCAAAAGAGTTTAGGCCTTTTGATGGATGGAAAGGCTGGTAGTCCAGTGATTTGAGCAGGCTGCCGTGTTTATTAAGCGAGAGTACGTGGCAAAGCACAGTCTGAAAATATACAATACTAAAATTACATCAGTTTCACCACTAGGAGATTCAGTTTTTGGCAATTTATTACTAAAAGAACATAGTGGCCACACTTTTGCACCAAGATGCAATTTAGACTTTTGGTGCTTTGTTTTGATTTTGTTGTGCTCTCTGAGCCGAGTGATTTAATTGCAAAGCTGGGATCAAAAGAGGAGCTTTATTTAGATAGCAAAGGGCTATATTTAACAAAGAGATGAGTAGTCTATGAAGGTAAAATTAATAAAATCTCACCCAATACGGATATTTAAATATCTTGCAAAACGCCAGTAAGATTTCAGAGGTTACTGATGGCTAGCAAAGGAAATCATGAAAGGTATACCAAAAGCGGAAGATAGTAAATTGTGAAAATTAGTGTATACTCCTAAACATCTAAAATGAAAACGAAAATGTAAAATGAATAACGAAATAATATCTTGAAACCCAAGAAGGAGAGGCAGTTTGCGATAAATTAACAAAGAAATTCAAGGTGATACACCGGTCACTATAAACGATATCGACGGGTAGAGAATCTTTGACTGTTACTAAAAAAATTTGGAAGGAACATTAAGGTTTCGGGTCTTTGAAGGATTTAGATTAGTTTCAGTACAGATTTCGTAGAGGGAATTAAGTAACGCGTGAGTTCTAATTTTGTCAATTCGTAATGTAGCTCTAACGTCAACCAATACCTTTAATGGGCGTCCACTTCACCCTGACACGACTGACCATATTAATCACGAACTCTCGACACAGTTTCAGGACATACATTAAGTAATTGAGCACGGTCTTTAGTGAGGCCATTTCGTCTTTTCCAGTTTATATTACAGATATTTTCACTGGAGGAGGCTTACGTGGGTTGACTTCACAGAGTATGGCTTCTCATCACAAATTTGTATAAGATTCATCTTCAAAACTACTACTGACGAGCACTCAGAGTAAGAAGAAATAGCTGTTCACTTCTGACTGGTTTCCGGCGATTCTCGAACCACTGCTAGTCCGTGACGAAATCTACACGGAAATATACCGGTATAAATCGTTACCAGCCTGCTTGTGAGCACATGGGACTTCTGTCGTAAGAAGAGTTTTAAGACTGTCTGACATTATTATTATTTATTATTATATCCTTTAATTCCTCGAGGAACATAGGGCTTCAGCTGCGCACCTCCATTGCCTTCTGTTTTCTGCCAACTTTTTCACCCCGCTCCAAGTCTGCCCACATGCTTCCATCTCCTCCTCGGATCTTATTTTTGATGCTGAGTGCCCTTGACCTCCACACAAACTTGAGAGTAATGAAAGCCTGTCTTGGTATTCCGATTCTGGCTTTGATATCCTCGTCAGTTCCATCAGCCTGTATTTGAAACGATGCACCCGAGGTAGGTAGGCAGGTAAAGGAGGTTGTTTCTTTCAGGTTCCTCCCATTTATGTCGGCTGATTGTTGTCTGTTGTTGTTGCTGCTGTTGATGTTGGACAGCAATCTTCATCACCTCTGTTTCATCTATGTTCACCTGAAGTTCTATCTTCTCTGGATACTTCTTCTGCCAGCTTGTCGCTTTTCACTTGCATATCCTCCAGTTTGTGAGAAATCAGACATATATCATCGGCGAAGTCCCGATCGTCCAAGTTTTTTGTGTGAGTCCATTTTATGCCTGTTTCCTCATTGCCCGTTTTCTGTCGCATTCTCCAATCTACTGCAATCAGGAAAATCATTGGTGATCGTAGGCAGCCTTGTCTCACTATCGTCCTTACTTCGAAGGCTTCCGTAGGTTTCCCGTTGTGGATTACTTGGCATGCAGCATTGTCGTATAACTGTTGGATGAGGTGTATAATTGTCGATGGGACCCCGTAGTAGCGAAGCAGTTGCCAGATGACCTCTCGATCGACGCTGTCGAAGGCCTTTTCAAAGTCGATGAAGTTGAGATAGAGAGGTGACTGCCATTCTAAGCTTTGTTCAATGATGATTCGTAAATTGGGGATTTGATCAAAACATGATTTGTTTCTCCTGAATCCGGCCTGTTCCGGCCGAAAGTTTTTCATCTAGGGCTTGTCTGATTCTCTCCAGGATGATGTGGCTTAGTATTTCGCTTGGAATGGACAGGAGCATAATTCCGCGCCAGTTTTACATTGACTTAAGTCTCCTTTCTTTGGTAGTTCGAATAAGTATCCTTTCTTCCAATCTTCGGGTACTTTGCCCTCTTTCCACACCTTCTCCAGTTGTGGCGTCATCAAGTCCACTGTTGTCTCTGGGTCAATTTTCAATGCTTCAGCTGGAATTCCATCTGGTCCTGGTGCTTTCCCAGTTTTTTTAGCATTGCATTCAGGACTTCTGATTTCGTCGGAGGGTCGATGTTCACTGGTTGTTCTGCTTTCGTTGTTGGTATTGTTGGGCGCGTTGCAGGTGGCGGTCGATTTAGAAGTTTTTTGAAGTCTTCATCCCAGTGTTTTCTTTGCACTACTTCTTTGGTAATTGACTTTCCATTGTCATCCTTCACTGGCTTAATCTGTGTCGAACTTTTGCCTAATAGATGCCTAGTTGTTTGGTAGAGCGTTTCGAGGTCTCCTTTGCCTGCAGCTTGTTCTGCTTCGTTTGCCATGGCTTCATTATATTTTCTTTTGTCTTCTCTGGCACTTTTCTTCACTCTTTTGTTCAGTGTATTGTAATTTGCATTCAACTCCTGTTTGTGTTGCTCATCGGTGCCCTGGATGATCTTTTGTTTCACTGTCCTTCTCTCCTTTATTAGTCTCCAAGTGTCCGCAATGAGACACTGTTTGTCCTGTCTCTTTTTTCTGCCCAGAACTTCCATGCAGGTTTGGCTCCATACCGTTTTCAAGTTGTCCCTGTGCTTTTCAACGCCGACCTCTTTGCTGGTGTTGATTTGTGTCTCGGCTTTGTCCTTTACACTTGCAATGAAGATGTCCTTTGTAGCCCGGTCCTTCAGCTTTTGAGTGTTGAACTTGGCTTGTGGTCTGTCTGCAGCTTCTCCTTCTCTGAAA